GCCTCCCAAGTGATGGGATTACAGATGTGTACCACCACATCTGGCAAGGATTTTTTTTTTTGTCTTTTTGAGACAGGGTCTCGCTATGCAGTTCAGGCTGGCCTTGAGCTCACTTTGTAGCTCAGGTTGGCCTCAAACTCACAATGATCCTCCTGCCTCTGCCTCCCAAGTGCTGGGATTACAGATGTGTGCCACCACATCCGGCGAAGATTTTTAAAGAAATAGTGGGAAAGCCTATCTGCAAAACAGCCCCAGGTGCTATCCACACCACAGGCAGCACAAAGCAAGCCCTGACTCCCAGACCAACCTCCTTCCTACTTGGACCAACCTTCCTGCCTCCCAGCTTCCAGGTGTGGAAACCGAGGCTCGGAGAGGAGCCTGGATTAAAAACCAGAGCCAGAATCTGAGCCCAAGCTCTCTGCACTCTGCCTCTCTATACCTGGACAGTCTGTCTCAGAAAGGTGGGGCCCTGGGCCCTCGGTGCCACGGTGATAGAATGGTGATTCAAACCTTGGACTGCGCAGCTCCCGGATCTGGGCTCCTGCCCTAGCCATGATGAGCGGAATGTGGAATTGTGGGGCAGAGAAGGAAAAGGGGAAAATGGGGTCTCCACGGAGCAGAGAAGGAGCCCCATGGATGCAGCCGAGCAGCTGCAGAGCCTCCAGTGCATTTTCACGCTTGGCCCCCTCAGATGGCCGCAGACCAGCCCCACCTCCAAGCAGGAGCCTGTGGCTGAGTCAGACCAGCTGGTCCAGCTGAGACGCGGGAGCTTGGGACTCTACCATCTGGCCGCTGGACCAGTAGGACAGTTGGGCAGGAGGCCCTGGGAGAGGACTGTGGGTCACGTGGAGCTGGGAGGTGGGGTCCCTGCTGCAGTGGCTTAGGAGGGGGACAAGGGGGAAGATGCGAGATCAACAGAAGGAAGGAGGGGAGATGAAGAGGGGGTGGCAGCAATGGAGAACTCAAACCAAAACAGCGGGCAGGAGGATAAAGATGGGTTGGGGAGCAGCCAGGGCCTCCCTCCTGCAGACACCCAGTGCCCAGGCTTTCAGGCAGCCCCCCGGGGACAGCAGGGTCTTGGGAGGCCCCTCTCCTCCTCTGCTCTGCTCCCCAGGCCCAGCTGGGCTCCATCTGGAGGTGGGAAAACAGGGTCACTCCGTGCCTCTGGCTCCCTCTGCTGGGTAAAAGGCCTCAGGCGCCAGCCACAGCACACGCAGCAGCCCTCACCCGCAGAGAAGCCTCCCTTCTACTTGGGTCCAGTTTCCTGGGATAGGGGCACCTGTGTCAGGGCTGCCGCTGGCACCCGCTGCTGTGACTGCAGGCCAGTCCTTCGTCCCACCTGGGCCTCAGCTTCACTTTTGGGCAATGGGGTCCCACTGTCGTGATCTGCTGGGCTTGGCTGGGACTTGTGGCCCCCACCATGCCCCAGGGAGAAAAGAACAGAATCTGTTCTCTGGCTGAAGTCAGAGGCACCAAATCCTTTGTCTGAAACCTAAATGGCCAAAAAGAGGGACAAGGAGGCCCATGCTCCCCAGTTAACAAAAAGAATTAAAAATGCAAAGGGACAGGGCACAGTGAGACATCACTTCCCATCCACGGACCCGGGAAAACCTGGTGTGAGAGCAGGTGTGGGCCAGGATGGAGCAGGCAGGAGGTCCTTCCTTCACTGTGGGGAAAATGGCGTCCGTCAGCGTAAGGACCAGGGTTTCAACTTGCAAGATCGGGGAGCCACAGACAGCTCCATGTTCAACACTGGAGTCATACTCCATGTGCCACCTTCAATGTACATGTCCACAGAGCCACATGGAGAAGGGAAAATGCCCCAAATGCAATATGAATAGAAACAATGAAATAACTGCACATCCCATAAATAACCAAAGCAAAGGGGAGGAGATAACTAACCACAGTAACTTCCGCACACAGCGTGGCGTGGTACACCACAGAACACTGAACACACCTAAACAAAGACCAAATCTTGGCGATCCTGGGGCAGCAACTGTGAAACTATGTATTATGCATCTTCACCTAGAGTGTCCATTGGAGGTCACTACGTGGAGTGTGCTCATCAGAAAAAGCTGAGGCACAGGTAACACCCCCAGGCCCCCCAGCTGGTGACTCACAGGCAGCCTGGCTCCAGCATCCGTGCCCTTGGCTGCAATGCGGTGCCCCCCGCACCATCCTGCTGTCCCCGAGGGGTCAGCACTAGGCCCTTGCTAGTGCATGGAGGAGGCACCCGGGGCCCAGAGCGAGAGGTAAAACCACTTGCCCAGCCTCACACAGATATGGAGTAGCACAGCTATGATTCCAGGCCACACCTGTCTGAGTCCTGAGCCTATGTCTTTAGCCACTGCCAGATCCTGCTAGAGAAGAATCAGTAATCACAGCAAACTAAGGAAGAACCCTAGTAAAGACGGCTGCTGGGCCAGGTGTTGTTTAACCTTCCTGACCCTCGTCCAAGCTCCTCCCCATGCTCTGCGCCCTGGAAGAGGGAGCTGCTCCCTGTTCGGGCCACATCAGCTGGTTCCTCCCTCCAGCTCCCAGGTGAGTCGGGCTCTGGAAATAAGTTGCAGGGCCCAGCACAAATTAAAAATTCAGTGTGCTTTGTATAAACAGTATTAAGAATTTTCAGACAGTGGCAACGAGGCATTAAACCAAGTACAGGGCCACATTTGAGTGTCAAATGCCAGTGAAGCTGGCACTGGTGGGACGGGGGTGGCGGGGAGCGGGAGAAAGGACAGAGAGATCAGAGTGAGGCTGGGTATTATTTCCTGGCATTTGCTGCAGTGGTGCCAAAGGCTGGCTGGGCTGCTTGTGGGGGTCGGAGGATCTGCCTAGCTCGGGGAGGGAAAGGCTCCCACTGTCAGCTCCAGCGGGTCCAGAGCACTGCACTCCCTGTGGCTCCCCCATGTCCGTTTCAACAGGCTGTCTGCGGCCGGGCGTGGTGGCGCACGGCTGTAATCCCAGCACTCTGGAGGCTGAGGCATGAGGACCACTGTAAGTTCGAGGCCCGCCTGGGGTACAAAGTGAGTTCAAGGCCAGCCTGAGCTGCATAGTGAGATCCTGTCTCAAAAAGACAAACAACAACAACAACAACAAAAACAGGCTATGTGCAAGGAGAGTATCTCCCCCACAGGGACGGTACCTCCCCCACAGGGATGATGGGAGGAGGAGGAGTTCACGCTGCCTGGCATACAGCGTACATGCACTTCTCAAAATATAGCCTGGGGGGCCTTGGGGATCCCTGAGACCTTTTCAAGGCATCTGTTAGGATACACCTATTTGTTATTTAACTGCTAAGGTGCTATTTGCCTTTGTCCCCTAATTGTACAGTAGGGGTTTTATAAAGACCAGACCACCTGCGCGACCCCAACACACTGGATGCAGAGGCAGATGTGAGAAGCCAGCTCCCTCCTATTCCAGACTGGAAACAAACAGAGTTGCAAAAACAGAACTGCCAACCCTCTCACTGCATTTGTAAAAAAATATGATTCTTTCCAGCTGTGGTGGCGCACGCCTGTAATCCCAGCACTCGGGAGGCTGAGGCAGGAGGATGGTTGTGAGTTTGAGACCAGCCTGGGCTACAAAGTGAGCTCAAGGCCAGCCTGACCTGCATAGCGAGACCCTGTCTCAAAAAGACAAAAAAAAAAAAAAAGAACAAAACCCCCAAAACATAAAAAAACATAGTTCTTGTTCATAGAGAGGTGATTTGGGTTAAGATGTGGTGGATTTAATACTGTTATGATTTCACTTATCCCGTGGCAAGTATCAGTAGGTCTGATCCACACAACAAAAGCTCTTTGAAGATCTAATAATTCATAAGTGGTGGAGGGTGGATAAAGACATGTCACACCATGTTCAGCTCTGGTTTCCTCTGTGCTCCTCTGCCCATCTCTCTGCGCAGCATGGGAGCCCCACGGAGGCGTGACTTCTCGCCCATTTGCCTACTGCTGTGTCTCCACACCATCTTAGGTGCCCCGTAAGTATGTGATGCATAGGTGAAGGAGCAAAGACTAACCAGAATCACCCGCCGTCATTATCAGTCTGCTTTCTTCCCTGCGCCCTAGCCCAGACACCTCACAAGCCAACTATGTGGGTGACGCATCCAACAGGAGCAGGGAAGAGTCCGGGGACCTGGATTCGAATCCAGACTCTGCCATTTTCTCCCCTGGGTCAGGAAGCTCACCTCCCTGAGCCTCAGTTTCCCACTGGGCACAGCCAGGCACTGTTCCTGCCATGAAAAGGCAGGGCTCATTACACCTCTGGAGGCGACGTTCACACTTCATCTGTCCCTACACATCTGACCACCCTGTCTCAAGCACTCAGCAGCTGCCACTTGGAAGCAGGGATAATCCAGACCTGCGCCTGTGCTCTACGAGTGCCATTTTGTAAGGGAGATACAGGTTGTGTGTTGGGGCCAGGTGCTTCCCTTTCTGTGCCTCAGTTTCCCTATTGGTAAAATAGGGCTAACAGTAGTGCCTACCTCCTAGCATGGCTAGGAGGGGTCATTGAGCACCCAGCCCAGATGAATGTCCCTAATTCTGTGCAAAGCCACTGCCCCACCTCTGGACCTTTGTTTCTCTTTTTTATTTTTGTTTGTTTTTTTTCCGGTACCGGGAATCGAACTCACAACGTTGCACTTGCCAGGCAGGCGCTGTGCCGCTGAGGTAAATCCCCAGCCCCTAGGACCTTTGTTTCTCTATACAGGTAACAGGTGCCAGGTCCTGAGAAAGCTTAACCACGCTGGTTATTTACCAGCTGCTTCCTGGTCATGAATCTCTGCTCTTCTCTTAGTGCCCCATGTCTTAGGGGTGGTGGCTAACTGGAATGGTCACTGCCAGCTGGGTTGCTTCAGTAGCCTTTTTGGCTCTTCCAGCCCCTTCCAGCCCCTTGAAATAAATCCCTGCATTAAATCACCTCCGTTTGAAATCCCTCCAGTGGGAACTGACCCTGACCTGGCCCACGGTGGCGCACGGTCCCCCACTGGGCCAGCCAGGCCATACCTGCAGCTTCTTGAGCTGGCTGTTGACGGTGGCCAGGTCCCCACCAGGGTCCACGTCTTGCAGCTGGCTTTCCATGTGGAGGAGCTTCTTGTCCAGCTCAGCAAAGCTCTGCACTAGCTGGTCGGCTTTGCTGGCCTCGAAGAGCTGCCGCGCCTTGGCCTGGGTCGTGCTCTCCAGCTCCGCCCAGCACTGCCGGATCTCCCCCAGCTTCTTCCGCACAGAGGCCGCCAGCTCCGGCTTCTCCTGCATCAGTTGCTGGCCCTCCTGCCCCAGGCAGGTCGATGACAGGAGACCAGGGAGAGGGGCAGGTGGTGGGAGGGACAGAGAAATGCAGGGGGCAACCGGACACAGGAAGAGAGACAGCGGAGTGGGTGCAGGGATAGGGCCAGAGATAGAAGGAACCAAGGAAGAGCGATACGAAAAAGAGATAGATGGTATGGGAAGGAAGACAGACACAGAGACATGGGGAGGGGACAGGGAGAGACAGACGGACATTGAACGATGGGCACAGGACATACACATTCAGGCAGGACCAGAGAGACAGGACCGTGAGAAAGACAGAAACGGAAGAAAGACAGGGAGATTGAGAGAGGCAGAGAGACAATGGACTTTCATTAAACTCAAAGTCGAGAAGACTAGCTTTGCTACATGCCCTCTCCTACAGAGCACCAAGGACCATTTAAGGGTATAAGGGCAACTTGGTGTCTCTGTCTGAGCTAGAAACACTGGGACAGCCAGATCTATAGGTCCAGGGGTTCAGTCAGAGTAGAGAGGTGTTCTGGGATCTAAAGCTTAAAACAAGATCTGGTGGGGTGGTGCACATGTGTAATCCCAGCACGCAGGAGGCTGAGGCAGGAGGATCACCACAAGTTTGAGGGCAGCCTGGGCTACATAATAAATTCAAGCCCAGCCTGAACTGCATAATGAGTCTGCCTCAAAAAAAAAAAACAAAAAACAAACAAAAAAAAAAAACCCAAGATTAAAAAAAAAAAAACTTAAAACAAAAGCCTGTCTGGTCCCCTCTGAAATTGAGATTAAGAACCTTGGTTACACACATTGCATATCAAAAGCAACAACCAGGTGTAATGGCACATGCCAGTAATCCCAGCTACTCAGGAAAAAGAGACAACAGGATCACAAGTTCAAGGCCAACCTGGGCAACTCAGTGCAATCCTGTCTCAAAATAAAATAAATAAAATAAAATAAAGGGCTGGAGGTATAGCTCAGTGGCAGAGCACTTGCCTAGCATGTGCAAGGTCCTGGGTTCCATCTGCAGTACCACAAAAATAACAATACCATAGTAACTATAGCTTGGGAGTGCCTGGCTTTGTGTTGAATACTTCAGTGAACAAAAGCCAAAGGAAGAAGCTACATTTTATTACTTCCTTAATTTTACTCCAAAGAGTAAGCCAAGAATCAAAACCACAATTCTTCCAAGTCCCACAGCTGGTTACAACCACTGGAACCCAAGGCTGCGAAAATTCAAAGTTCACTTTAACCACTGGCTTCTCAGGACTGCCCCAGCCCATCTTTCTGGTCTTTCATTTTATGTGCACCAAATGGTACAGAAGGAAGCCTGGTGGGGGTTATTGGAAAGGCTGAACTAGTGGTCAGGCACAATGGCACTCTGTATAATCTCAGCTATTTGGGAGACTAAGGCAGAAGGATCACAGGTTTGGGCCAGCTTGGCAACTCAGCAAGATCTTAAAAATAAAAAGGGCTGGGGATGTAGCTCAGTGTTTACTGGGTTCATTCCCCAGTATCCAGAAAACAAAAAGAAAAGAAAAAGAAAGAAGGAAAGAAAAAGAAAGAAAAGAAAAAAAAATAGGAGCAAAATGTTAGCAAACAGGAGAAAATGGGTACCATTTAGAAGAGTCTGGCAATTTTACAGATGGGCAAACTGAGGTTTGCAGAGGTTACATGAATCACTTAAATCACACTGCTAGCAGCAGAAACAGAGATGATCTGAACTAGATCAAGGGTGTGAGGCCAGCAGTGGAAGGTGTCAGAAGTAAGGCCTCCAGCCCTGGCACAGGAAGAGGGACCATCCACATCCTCACCCTCTCGATCTTCTCCAGCCACTCCTTATTCTGAGCCAGCTCGGCCATGAATGCCTGGTGCCGGAGCCATCTCTTGTGCAGCTTGTGGCTGTCCTCCCGAGTGCCATCCCTCGCCATCAGCATCTTCTCATGGATCCAGCCATCCAGCTGTGCAGGGCAGGGCAGCAAGGGTTCAGCCAGTCCCCACATCCTTGCACAGCCCCCATCTCCACTGAGAAGTCCCAGGTTTGGGTCCTGGGTTGCTAGGGTTGTGGGGCAGGGGCAGGAAGGGGTGGAAAGACTTTTGCAAATGAGGCCTTTATGGTGAGTGGGGTGGGGGGACTCAATCTCTTTCCTGGGCAGAACATGAAGGGCAGCATTCTCAAAGGACAAACTTTTGGCTCTCCTATCCTATGGGCAGTCTTCCTCTTTCCCTCTACAAGCCCTCAAGGTAGGACTCCTGGGCCAATCCTCCTTCCACTGGGGGCTAAATCAACCCCCAAACAACCTCTTCAAAGTAAGTAGCTGAAGTTCAATTCAGTGCCAGTCATACCCATAGCAAAATTCAGACCCTCCCATTCGGTCTTTGCCATCCCTAGGAAGGACCAATTCAAGATCTTCAACCCTTTCTTGAGGGGCGGAAACTCCTCTGTGCCTCAGTCCCTACCACATGGCCAGATCAACTCCCAGAACAGCCTCCCAGCTGCAGCCTGCTCTAGCTCCCTACAAACCAGTGCTCCAATCTGGAGTAGACCCGAGCCCTAAAACTGAAACCTAGGACCTCTAGGGAACCCACAAGGCTCCCAAATTCCAGCCCTGGAATTCTAAGACTGGTTCCCCAAACCACGACCCGCTCAAGCCCCCAGCCAAACCCAATCCCTTAAACGTAGCAACAAGGCTGCCTTCTGGATCTCTCAGCAAGCCTGCCCTAAAATCCAGCCTTAGGCTCCCCAGTGCGGAGCAGATCAAACCTCCCACGTCGATCCTCCAAAACTAAAGCCAACTCTAGTCCCTCTTCCAACAAAACCGGTGATGAAAACCGCAAACACCAAGGACAGGCCCTTCTCACCAGCCCCACAGGACCAAATGCACACTGCTTTCTGAGCCGCCCCCGGCCGCCGGGAAAATAAGACTCGTCCTCCAAGCCAGAACCTCTCCATTCATGACCAAACCTAGCACCTGGGACCATTTGCTCCTCCCTTGCCCCTCCCCCTGCAGTCACAAGATCCTCCTCCTCCCTCTTGGAAAAAAAAAAAAAAAAAAAAAAAACACCACAGACTCCAGCTCAGCGGTCCTGGGAGGCAAATGCAGTCATAGCCAAGGACAAATCCCAAGCTGGCCAAACCACACCCCATGTTCCCTGAGTATGTGTTCCCCGGGGGTTCAGATCGGTCTCACGCTCCCTCATGCGCACCACACTAGAGCCAAGTCAAGGCTGAATCCCCCATCTCAATTCACAGGTCCCAACACGCAGAGGAGAACACTGGCAACCACAGCCCCCAGTGAAGGCAGAGCCCCTAGAGGAGATGGTACCTCGTCCTCCAGGTAAAGCCCCCCGAAGTGACTGCTCCCCTCTCATTATGAGGGCAAAGCCAGACGCCTAGCAAGCAAGATAAACCCTAGCCCAAGCTAAAGCCCTCAGATCCAAAGCAAACCCAACACCTTCATCGCCCAAAGCAGGGACCCCCAAAAGTGATTCCGCCTATATCCAAGGCTGGCAGACCTCGCAAGAACCAAAAATGTAAGCCCCCAAAGGGCTGACAATCCCCCCGCCGCAGGGAAACCTCAGATACCCTCATGACCCAGAGAAGAGCTCTCTAAAGAGGTTTCGACCCCCTTTAGCGCCACGGCAAACCTAGACTACCCTAGCAGTCGCCGTGGAAGTCCCCCCTCTTCCGCTTCCCTCCCCTGGGGCCCCGGCCGCCGTCCCGGGCCCGCCCGCACCAGCACCGCGGACAGCTCCCGGCCTCCTCGCCCCTCCCCCAGGGCGGGGG